GTGGTACTACAGTGAACCAGCTGCCACTGCACATATTGCTGGACACATTCGGGATCGTAGCAGAACAGCCGACATTAGAAAGAGGTACCCAACCAACACGGATGCCGGTCTGTCCTCGCCGATGGACAGGACGTGTCCACCGAGCGTCAGCAACACTCCAAGTCACATACAATACCGTCTGACTTCAAGGCGAGATGTTACAGATTTCGCCAAGCTCACCTGTGATATACGATCGTCATGCGACGACTCAGACTCTGCAAGTTTGGCGGAGATATGTTAGTTCCTTAACAGTAACAGCAAAATAATTCCTTCATTTTGGAATTCAGTTTGTTTCTCTTTTTGACCTTAAAGTGGCTCATTCTATTCAGTTTTCTGGAATTTCTATTATCCACCTGAATGTCACGAGAACAACCGGGGCTTGGCCTCCATCCTGTATTCATTGCGTCCAGTATGTTGTTGCAAACGGCCAATTTTGTGGGCACTTCTGCCCCTTTCTCGATTTATTCGTCATTTATGGATGATTTGCTGCTATTTAGCAAAGCACTCTGTCTGGTGACAACCAGGACTGTTTGTTAGGCTTCCACCGCATCTTGTGATGAGTGCTACGATTTTATTGTGATCAAACGATCGTTTGCCAATAACAACACCAACAACAGTAGTCATCCATTCGGATTGATGCTTCCCTACCATGCAATCATGATGACCTAAGGAATAATAAGAGGCAGAGGACTTACCAGAAAACATTAATGCACTAAGAAAACATTCACGGCCAATGCCCCTACACCTTGTGTAGATGACCTACCGCCACAAACAGCTGACTATCGTGCAAAGATAAGGCGGCATCAGCGAGCCAGCTTCATTGCGGCTTTCACTGCCTCGCCTCATAATTAGCCATTACCCAGCACCAAACACACTTTAGACACGCAATGCGACTAGAAGACGGAAGCAGACGTGCCACTGGTGTCGATTGCGAGCCATGTCCTGTAAAGTCTCGAGCCAAGCACAAGGCGAATCACCTGGACTCCATCACGGTAGACGAGACGGACCAACGGCACCCACTTTGGTCGTCAGTGAATTCATTTCCCGCTGCCAAGTCAACTTCTGTCCACCTCGAGCCTTGTGACACCCTACATTTGGCATACTAAACAAGGTCCTCCTAGGTAAGCAGTGACCAGGCATACGGTCCACATGCTTAAGCCAACGCAACCTAATCAGTGCTATATGTTGTTTCAAGGAACTAGCTTGGTTATCATTGCCTATTACTCGCTTACGCACATCATCGTTGCGGACGCGTTCCTATCACCCGACACCAACCATGCTTCCCAGTCAACGGTGATCAAAGACATGAAGGCGCCTCAGCTCCTTATACCGAAGGGGCTAAATTTCACTACCTTAGAGCAGGATGGCCCTCACTGTGGCCTTGTATACACGGTCTTCCAGACGGAGGGAAACTCCCTTGTCGCTAAAGATGCCGCAGACTCAAGTAGGCAGGCCTTCGAATTACGTGAGCTGTCAGTTTCTTTGCGCCCATCGTTGCTGATGCAGCTGCCAAGATAAGTGAATTGATCAACCAGCTTGAGTTCTTCGTTATCAAGGGTCAAGGGGTCATCAAGTGGCTGGTTGTCCTGCAGCGACACTTTGAAGGTGCAAAGGACATACCAAATAATGTGACCACTCTAGTGAGGCTAATCAGGATTTATTGTGCCGCCGCAACATCGCCGAAAAGCAAGACGATATCGTCCGCATAATCAAGATCAACTAACCTTTCACCAGGCTGGACCTCAACGCCAACATCGTGTGATTCCGTGAGGGAACACTCCATGATAGAATCCACGACGAAAGTAAGCAAGAACGGGGAAATCGGAAAACCCTGATGAACGCCACTTGTGGTCGGAAAGCTATCCGATAGGACACTGTAGACCCTGATGCGGCCTGTAGTGTTCGAGTATAGGGCACGAAGGATGTTCACATATTTCGTGCGAACACCTTTCCGCGCAAGTATTTCTAACTGTATGCATCGATCGGCTGAATCGAACGCACTCTTGAAATCGCGGAAAACAGCTATTGTCGATCTGCGGTATGCGTGGCGCTGCCCTAGCACTTGCCGCAAAGTGAATATATGGTCTATACATCCACGTCCTGGGCAGAAGCCTGCCTGCTCTTCCCTTATCCGTGATTTTCGCTCCACAGTCAGGAGACAAACGAAGATCGAGGCCAGTAATTTTGTCACAAATGGCGTTAGGTTAACACCCTTGTGGTTAGAACAGTTTGTGCGACTGCCCTTCTTGTATGTGTTGCCTCTATAGTAGTCGATTCACTCCAGTTTTCCGGGTCACTTTCTTCCTTCCAGATATGTTCGAATACGGAAATCAGTCCCTTACAGAGGACCTCACCTCCACCCTTAAGTAATGTTGTTTGGAGGGAATCCGGGCCAGCAGCACGAAAACGATTGAGGACTGTGATGGCGTTTCGGACCTCAGCCTTCGATGGGGCCTCTAAACTATAACCGTCCATGACTCGTCTTGCATGAACTGAGTAGGAAGAGGTCCGGGAGCAGGTGGCCAACTTAAAAGTGTTCTGTCCAACGAGCCATACGCGCTGATTTTGTGAATAAGGGCACCTCTCTGATTGTTTCACTGACGTCTGGTTTCCTGGAACCATTGGTGTGGATCAGCTGGAAGAGCTTGCGATAATTGCCTACTGCTCCTGCTTCATCCATTATTACAGCCCGACTGGTCTACCACGCTTCCTTGTCAACACACAGGCTCTGCTTTAGTTCGCGCCTATTAGTCTGTCTGGTCACGTTATGCTCAAAGCCAACCAGGAGTTTTCCTTTGGATTCCAACTGGTTCACCGACTTTTCGGATATCCAGTGACTGGTGCAGTGACGATTGATAGTGCCATAAGCAGATGCTTCCGCGTCGTGTATGGTGACCGAGATCCTATTCCACCGAAGCTTTATGTCATTAGGACAAGACAGCGAAAGTTCATTGTGAAGTGCGTCCTGATAGACTTGCCTGACTGAGGGCTGAGACAGTTTCTTAGTTGCCAATCGGAGAAGAGGCTCGGTTCGCCTCACGCTAAAGATAATGGAAACCACAGCGTACCAAGGCATGATCAGTCGACGCAGGTATTCCAGTACGAGTGACACTGTAGGATGGAACCACGCCACCTGTAAATTATGACAGTGCGATCAACTTGGGTCCATCGCTGGCCGGCTACAATAGAACGCCAAGTGGCACTTCGGCGCCCACTGTGTTTAAAATCGGTGCTACTAAGAAACAACTAGTGTTCCGCACACAGTTGCAACAGACACTTGCCGTTGTCAAACCGTTCGAAGTTAAGCCCATAACTACCATCCAACTGAGCTGCTAAAGAGCTCGGACGATCTACCTATGCGTTTATATCCCCTGCAAGTACCATGATATCTGAACTAGTAGCACTGCGTAGTATCGCGTTCAGTTCGTGATAGAATGTGTCCTTGGCAGCATCAGAACTGCAGTCGGTGGGAGCATAAGCGGAAATCACAAACCAACAGGGTTTTGTACTACTTCGTGAATCAACCTTAGTTGATGTCGTTAAACGGGCTGCACACAAATGGCTGTTAACCGGAATCCAATCAACCAACGATGACTCAGTCATGGAGCTGATAATGATACTTACCCCAGCTTGACCCTTGGGTGCTGCATCAGCTTCTCCGGATGCGTGCAACCAATAGCGAGAGGACAAGCAGGGCACAGTTAATTCAACAGCCCCATTTGGTCATTGGTCCTATTTTCGGACACACAACATACGTCAATACCCAGTGTGTCCAAGGTGCGTGCGAGTGCAGCCTGTGGATCTATTTGTCTTAGAGTGCGAAGATTGAAGGCCGCCAAGAAAAGGGGACATCGTGGCCTTATAGGCGACCGTTGCCGATAGGCGTCCAGTGGGTGTTGCGGGAAGGTGGCTGCAGATGCTGTGACTCCAGTGGCACTTCAGTTGCTGTCAATAAATCTGGAAATTATAGAAGGAAGATTAGTAATGGGAGTCGGGATGAGTGTAAGAGAAACAGTTGGAAAGGAACTATTGGGGGATAACAGTAGCATGTTTGCGCTTACGCGCTCTGCTGTATGCAGCATATATGGTGACCTTTGATAATCTGCGCGACGGCGAATGCACTGTGTAGTTAGAGTGTGGAGAAATTGTCATGGTTATGTGGGCTGAGATATTGCCATGGCACCCAGACCTAGACAGTAGGACGATTAGGGTCCTCAAACAAAGCCTGTTCTCAAGGCAGCAGATAGGTGGCAATGGTTTAGTTTTACAGAAGTGGACGCCATTCCACTTCACACCCCCAACCTGGAGGACCGGGAGACTGAGTTCATCTGACCCCTAACCATTGACCAACTTGGTAGAGGTAGCTCTCAAGGTGCCCGGAGGCGCCACACAGAATAGCTCAATGGGGCAAGGAGGTACGCAAGCCGTCGCACCACGTTAAAGTCCAGTCTCATTGCGACAGTAATTTGATAGCATTATGAGCTTAATCGAAACACCGAGTTGTCTTGGTGCTAGTTGTTTTCGGGCAGGAACCACAGGAGTTAGCACATTAATTACCAGAGAACCTGTTCGACTTCCCGCAATGGAGAATTCAAAAGCTTGTACATGTTCGCCTTCCTACTTTTAGTCACTATCCATTTCGTTCCATTATTCGAAGTTCTCAACTTTCGCCGGCTGGGCTTGGTGTTTGCTCATCTTTTTTATTTCCTTCACTTCTTTTTCACTATTTTGGCAGCTGAATCCACAGTATTTTGGTCCTCTTTTCATAATCGATTGACCGGCGTACATATTACAAACACCCCTTTTCGGTCCCCACTCCATGCCCCTAAAATACGTCGATACTGTCTGATAAAGCATAACATTTGCCGCACTGTTCTAATCATGAAGCCCGTCTCATTTCCAGGTCTATATTTCCTGCGTATTCGAACTACTTGCTCTGACGTCGCATCATTTCTATTTTCAGCACCATTCTTATTGAATTTGCTTCTTTTTACGACACTGACCTTATCATGCAACTAAACGGCACGTATGATGTGAAGCTGGGTAAAAGCTTCTTAGATCCAAACTCGGCCAAATATCTCACTATGCGTTGTGATTTCATGCCTGCCTCTGTGGATCGTACTCAACCTGGATCGATAAAAGTCGATGATAGCAAGGAAGTGGTGGTCAATTTGCCTAATGTAGCCTCTGTTGGGTCCGGCTCCACTGTGTTTCGAGGTAGTGCCCGTCCTGTACAGAAGGAATGCATCCTAATCTACAACAAAAAGGTACGTTTAGTATCGATATGTTTTCCACCATTTTCCATGCTTTGTGTCATGTTGGCGATGTGCGGTGGTCATGTGCCTGTACGCGTTCGCAATTCATCAACATTTTTCAGTTGTATTGACTCAGAGCTACGTGATGCTTTCCTCGTTTTGAGACAATCACTTACCGGCATCAACCGCTTGTCTAATGCCACTCGCACTTTCGAATTAGCCTCTAACACAAAAACTGGAGGGACTGATGATTGAATTTTGCTCTGCTGTCGCTTCTCTCCATTCTGGTTGACCGATGGCCGGTTTGTATAAGGCGTCCACTGGTTCGAATTTGCCTAAGTGCCTGCGACTTCGAAATATCCCTAGTCCGCGCATGACTGGTGGTGGTTGAGTGGCAGTAACGCGTCAGTACGGCGTACTGCTGATGCATTTTCCCACCCATTCTAATTCATTCCATCAACATTCGCATGTTGGACAGGATGAGTTCGGCTCTTTGTCTTCTGTGACCAATTGATTGTCCTTTTGTATTTAGTGGCCTACAGAACCAGCCTAACTCATTTCTGCATTCATTTGTCGATTTCGCTGACGGCCTTGTAGCATCAGCCACCTTGCAGAACCACTCACAACACTGGATGGTAGCTTCTCGAAGCAATGAACGTCTTCATGGTACATCGGGCCTTATGTACCAAGCCACTACTTAAGTGCCCGCTGTTTTCTCTAGCCAAGGCTGTCTCCTCCCGATGTTGCTTCTTCCTGTTCTGGTTTGTGGTATCCGAGTCTCCACTTCTTGATATATATTTCAAAGAGCCCCTCTGACTTGCTAGTTTGTGTCATACTACTTACTTTTTCCGCGCCACTACTCCTTACCTACCGCTGAAACATTTGTGACTGGCTAGCAAATTTCTTTACTTTAGGGCGAATTCACCCAGTGATTTATATTATACTCCCAGCCTTGAGAATTCTTGTTAGTTTACTTTAGTGTTTCATGGATTTCCACTCTGAATTCCCCCGTAATGTCCGTTCCCTCATGGCATGTTGATAATGATAGTTGTTCCATCGAGACGTCCTCATATGCCGCGTGCTGTATGCACACTCATCAGTCAGTAGTGATGCATGCTTTGGTGTGTGTGCTAAGCTCCACCATGCTATTTGCAAAACACAACGAAATTACAGCTTGGCTGTTGATGTTGCTGCTGTTGTTGTTGACGATGTTTATATGGTCTACTAACCTTTCTTGTATATGACCGCCTTTCTCTGGGCCCATTCATCAGCATCTGCCTTAATGCTCAAGCTATATACTTTCCATTCTGTGCATTAGACAACAGTGGCGCGATGTCCTGGTGTATTGACCCGAAAGCATACGTGCATGCTTATCACAAAAGCGAGGCTTATCAGCACTAGAGAGTGCCGGAAGGCACTGTTCAAACCACGGCTCAACTTTTTCCGGCTTTTTTCATTCGATATAATTATCACAACTTCCTTGTTGATCGCAGAGTGCATCGCTTACTAATTTCAGCGAAATCACCTCGGTACTAAGCTAATACTCTGTTAGCAGTGTACAAGCGGCTAGCGGATAGGATGCCGACATCTTGACTACACAAGTGATTTCAAGGTACGAGATCCAGAACAGACGGTTTTTATGTTAAATCTGTAAAAACGACAGTTGGAACTGCAGTGTAGAGTAGTATTTAACAGTCTACTTCCTCATTATCCATATTAAACGGCTTTCTTTAGTTGATTGGGGGGGGGGTTATTTTGAAGTACTCGTGTGAACCGATTGCAATGCGCAATCTCAATGTAGACCGCAATTCTTCCTGAAGTGAACCTTAGTCAATGCGGCCACTGGTACCGTATCCGAAGCAGATGGGGATTCGATGTTGCCCCCTCCTCCGAAACACGATACACCACGATGTGTCTGGACCACGTTTGATTTCATCAGCTGGAGACAGTAGGCCTCGAACCTGGTAAGCGGTTAGACAAACGCCGTGGTTGGGATAATGTTTGATTGCTTGGTAAGGTGGGGGTATCAGCTACGCTTTACAACCAGTCGCAGTTGTCGACAAGCAGTTGAAGCGCGCGGACCGCGGAAGTAGTGAATCCCTGTATGAGTGGCGTGTCGTGAATTGAATGGAACATTCCATCGAACGCAACTCATTTGTGTATCGAACTCCAAAAATCTGGGACAGAAGCATTGGAAATGTTAAAGACAGCAAGACGCAATGAATGTTTGAGTCGGTCGATGGTGTTTAAGCAGCACTAGGCCTTCAAGGAGGGGATAGAAGATGTTGAGGACGACAGACGTGTGAGTCGACCTTCCACCACCAAAACATAGGGAAACGTGAACCGTGTGTGGGGCAATTTGAGCAATGATCGACAAGTGTGCGATTAATCGCGGAGGAACTACACTTGCCCATAACGCAAATTTACGAAATTTCGACGCGAGAGTTGGGCATGCGAAAGTGTGTGCAAACTTGGGACCATAAGTGTTGACAGACCAAAAAAAGCAAACCGTGACAATTTCGCAGGAATTGTTGTAACGTATGGCAGCATAGCCAGACTTTCTGCTGAGGGTGGTCACCGGAGACGAATGCAGAATCTTTGAATACGATCCGGAGACCAAGAAGTAAAATTCCGGATAGCACGGAAAAGGGTCACCCCGCCCGAAGAAGGACCGCATGAGCAAGCGAAAAACCAAGACAAGGTTCCATGTATTCCGTGATTCGAAAGAAGTTGTCCACCTTAAGCTTTTCCCCTGGACACACTGTGAATGCACACTATTTTTACGTCGAAGTGCAATTACTCGCGGAGTAACTGAATTTGCCCAAAACATAAGTTTGCGAAATTTTGATGACTTAGTTTGCCGAGAGCTGGATATTCCACCATGATAACGCGTCGAACCACACCGCCCTGATGACCAAGGAGTTTCTGACCAAGAAACCAATTCCAACCCTATCACAGCCTGTTATCAGTCTAGACTTGTCTCCGTGCGATTTTTTTCTATTCCCCTGGCTGAAGACGGTCATGAAAGGATTTCCTTTTCAGACTGTTCCAGTCATTCAAGATGCCAAAATGAGTTGCCTTCGCATCATCCCGGATAAGGGATTCTAGAGGGCGTATGAATAATGGGAAGAGTGTTGGCAACGCTGTGATTCCACATTAAAGATTTTTATATGTAAGCTATATTATCTTTAATAAATTGTCTTTACCAATATCAATCCAGTTACTTTCAGGACAAACCATGGAAATCTCCATTTGGGTCATATCTCGAGTAGCTGGGCTTAATCATTCTGTTTAGTTCAAATCAACGGAATGTAACCATTCATCTGTAACATGTACGCCGTCAGCAACAGCCAATTAATGACGTAGAATACTATTAAAATGAACATTTCAAAAATATGGAAAGTAACTTTATGACTGACAAAAGTATCCAGCATAGAATACGCTAGATAAAGGATGATTGACGAACTGCTATCCTGTGTGTCGTACAAGTCATTTCTTCTGGGACAAGCATTTATTTGACAAAATAAACCCCACTCAGATTACAGTGCATCTGGCTCGTAGAACGCCTCGATTTAAATTGTCCGTGTGTTTCCATAAATAACAACTTTTATCGGCCAATGAGGTCCCGCCGTTGACTCAGTTTAACAAACCATAAGGAACCCACCGTAGTGCACACGAGCATTGACCAATTAGCATCCAATAATCGAATTCGTCATATTCGTCTCCTACTGACTGTCTATGTCGCTCATCTTACTTATCTGTCCACCTTAATAGGACACCCATCACACTGTGAATGACCGTATTGTTAGTACTCCGTTCTAGTAGTACTGTAGCGAGTCTAGCCCAAATGGTAAGGAAGGACGTGTGCGTACTAAACTCAGTGTAACCACCGATGTAACTAGCATCTTGCACTATTTCACGGGTGACCCGGATAAAAAGAGGGCCAACCGGTCTGCCGACCATGAGGTGGAACACATGACGCACACATCGTTTCGTACTTTTTCTGACCAAGGAGTTCGATACGCATTAAAATACTGTGTGAGGAACGTGATAAGCCTCGATACATTTTTTTCTCTTTGTAGGACTTACTATGAGTAGACATAGCACTCTCAGTAGCACTTGATATTGAAGTGCCGCCAGATTGAGAACAATGCTTTAGTGACCCAGCAAATCCCTTGAAATGCTTACTTGTTTGGACCTGGAGAATTTACGCGAAAGTGAAGCGTCCATCATGGTGGAATACACGCAATGTTAAACCTGGGAATAAAATAGTAGGAGACGGAGAGGCTTCTCGGATGAGAGACGTCAAATGACAGCCTTCTGACTCTTATGAGCATCTCATACGCTTGAGGAGTCCATGCTGAATCATAACCTAGCGTCATTATTGGTTACTTCATTAAGGTGAGGGAGTTCAAGCCCACATAATCGAGGTGAAGCTGATGGTGATGCTTGAGGAGTTGCTGGTACACCACGAGAAAAGAATCTCGTTACATTTTTGACTCATTCGGCAATAGATCTACGACCCAGTTCATTACTTCTCGGACAAAATTCCAACTACGGTAGGCAAACTTGAAGGGGTCACCGGAAGCTGTTTGATCCATCATCCTTTCAAGGGAGATTTTCTGAAAGCTTTCAAAATTACCTAAGTATATCTAATGAGCCTGTACTTATCTTTGCTACTGGCTCTGACTGCCCTCCGACAGTCAGCGATCTGGTGTGTTGGGTGTACAGTCCTGATAAAATTGTCTTCACATTCCAAACCCAGGTAGAGATCCGTCTGACTTGATTTAACTGTCATTTTGACCTTTTTACTATCCTCAGTGATCCGGCACATACAGCACCGCCGCAGTCCATGGACTTCCGCGTGATGCTCCACCATTCTGCTTCTCTCGCCATTTCTCATGCCCCTCACTGCGCGCTTGGACCGCCACCTGCCATCAGATTTTCTCAGTAGCAACCTAAGACCAAAGTGGTCCGAAATTCTCATGCTTGCCTGATTCCGAAGCGCACAT